GTTTGGACAGACAAAGAAATATAACAGACCAAAATGACAAATTCATTCTGATGGATTCTTGCAATAAATTACATACAACCATCTCTTCTGTTCAGTTTGACTGCATTATGTTTGACATACAAATTCAGCAGGGACCAGTTTGCTGAGATGATTAAATCCCCCTGTTCATCAAGGTCTTAGACACTGAGTTGATCATTTAAGGTTTTCTGTTATCATTCTCTGTATGAAAAGTCATTGGATGAGAAATCAAACTGGAGCTGAAGTTTCACCACTTGACACCAATCAAGCGATTCAATATGATTCTTAACATATGTGTTTCAAATTAATTTGGTCTGTATGACATTCGTGTCAAAGGACTGAATATTCCAGTTGCCAACATTCAGAGGTAAAAGGTAAAGATGTGCCATTTCAAACATTCCTACATTTTGGACTTGGATCCTACACAGTCAAATTTCATCTACAAAACTGGCTGTCAAACTTTTATTGCTTCAGTGTATGATGAAAATATCCTGGAACTGCAAACCAGCCACAACACAACTCAGGGGTCAGTTTTCTCTGTTAAACTGAGCATGTTTGTCTTTGCTACTGTCAAGTTCAGGTCTCAATATTAATGTCTCAAATCATTGTAAGGGTTCTGGGGAGATTAACTATTATCATTACACAGTGAAAAACTCTGAGTATACCGCTTGAGCTTTCACAAGAAAACTTTGGAAGACTGGACACACTGGTTAATTTTACTATAAAGTGAGTAAAATGGCCCTATCTATCAGGTGTGCTGTGCACAGCAATTTATTTACAGGGGAATATATTACCTGAATGATCAATTTTGCCACACCTAATCACCTTTTCTTGGAGAGAAATATTCCAGACAGCTGCTTGTGTGGTGTAAAATTTTATGAGCTGAAGTAATTTTGTTAACCTGGCATGAGTCTCCACAAAAGCAAGAAGGAACAAAGTCCAAACATTTAATTTGATACGGACAATTACTCTTGAATTGCACTGCAGCAAGTCTGTGATCGCTGCTCAGAATGCCTGAGTACTGGACGTTTTCCAAAAACATCTTGTATCTTTTGTCTTTAAGAACCTAGAAGACAAGGTACTGTGTTCATTTTTTTTATTTTTGTCTGAGCCCCAAAAGTGTTTATTTCCATACAGCTAATTTCTTTGTGACAGGAACAAGCTGTTTTTCGATGATGTTAGAAGTAATGTTAAGGGCGATAAAAGAGAAAAAGAATCTTGTGAAAAAAGCTTGAACTGCTTGCTCACTTACTCATGTCTTCCATTAACCTGGACAGATTACATGATCACATTTACATTAATTTGAATATTATTCGACATTTTGAATGCATTCTTTGTTCAGAGACTAGCTCACTTCTTATGTCTCCTTCATGCTTATCTGTCAAAGGGCCTCACTTTAAGCAATCGTCTGAAAGATTCTGAAAGTCTTGATTCAACCTCTTGGGACTAAAACTGTGAGCTGCAGCTATTAACACAGCCACATTTCCATAGTGCATTACTAAAGGTTAAGGAGGAAAAAATGCAGACGTGGCTCAGCCAACTGAAACTGCTCACATAACGCGTCTTATTCCACCAGATACGCATGAATAAACATGGAGTCGGGATCCAAGCTCAAAGTAACGTTGACTGGCTGTAATAGACCGCATCTCTTTATTGTTACATGTTAATTACAACATTCCATGCACACAGCATGTGGATATTCACAGAAACCTCATATAAAATAAATTGTTTCTGCAAAATACATAAATCTTGTAACAAACTGAATTTTACCTTTAAAAGATAATAGACGATCATATAAGATGTTAGTTCATCCCAGCCTGCTGACTTTTTAAACAAACTCTTTATGTGAATGAAGAAAGAAAAGTTCTTCATAGGGTCCTGTCTTATCTGTTACATGAGATATTTCCTGATTGAACACCAGCCAGAAAGTTGAATTCAAGGGGCATGTCAGTTTAAAAGGGATTTTTAACCTCAAACTTCACACAATTAAGTTAAAACAATTCATTTTCTCTCCTGTCCGTCCACATGTCACATCTGTGATTTTACTCTTTGATCTCTCTTAAAGCTTACAGGTATCGCTCCCAGATGTCTTGCCTTTTGCTGACCTGTACCAAAGCAGACGTTGGAGTTTATTTCTCAGAGGTCAAGCTGCTATTTGAATAAAAACTGTGTCAAATTGACTTTCATAGGGTCACACAGAAACACCTGGACTGTTAACTGGCTAAACACAGTACATTAAAAACATTTTCTGTGGCTCATTTGCTCACTGTCATAAGGAGGAACATACATCTCCTCAGGAAATTGTCATATTTTTCTCACTCATCCAATTTGTCAATAGTTTGAAACTGTGTTTGATATGTTTTAAAAATCTTTTTAGTTTAAAAAGACCCTGGGGAAACTTCACATCACTCTTAGTGTGATCACTCTGAACCAGGAGCAGCTCCATATCAGGAGGAGATCAGGTCTTCTGTGCATGAAGGCACAGTAATGTATCATAATACTCTAGTCTTTGGTCATAATCCAGTTTCTCTTTGCCTCCTCCTCGTCTCTTCATCTCTGACATCCTGAGCAGGCAGCCAAAAAGGATCTACTAAATGCTGACTCTCAGCAAAGCAGGAGACAAGGCAGCCAGATTTTGACAGAAAAACTTCTCCATTCTCATGACCAAATCCAAGAGGAATAATATTATTGAATCAAAATCCAGCGGGCTTAATTGCCAAGACGAATGAGACAGAAACAGAGGAAGCAGCTTCAGATGAGTATGGAAAGGGAAAATGCATGCACAGAACTTATTTCCAAACAACTCTGAACAGGATATCTGGCTTATAAAGCGTTTCAATCCAAGTTTCAATGAAGGCTACTTGAGCATCACTGATTCATGTGCCTGTAAAATCGTCCATAAACTTGTGAAATTATTGTTCACTTTATGGATACAAGGCTCTTGGGTCTACAGTTTGGTTCTTTGTGTGAAACACATATGGCAGTTTGAGGAGCTTTTCAATTTTAAAAAAGAACAGTCCGTCATTTCCATGTGGATTTGTCAAACCTGAATCGGTCCAGCATGAACTCAAATGACCCCGGGCCTGCAAAAATTTATCACTCTCTGCTGCCTGAAGGATGTCCACGAGCTTTAGACTCATTGGAGCAAAGAGCAACTGTTACATAACTACAAAGAATTTAACAGATAGCCACACCCTCTCACTAAAGCAGTCTTTTCCTCTCTTCTCTTTACAGCAAAGACGTTCTGGGAGAGATCCTCATAAATTGACTGGGCACACCTTCCTTTTTGATGATGTGCTTCTGTCTGCTTGGTTGTTTTATTTTTTTTCCGCAGCTTTAATAAATCAATCACTCGCCAGTTGAGGAATCAGAGCCCCGCTGCTTCAGAGCCACTGAAATGTCTGGTGGCTGGAGGAGTGTCAGATTCAGGCTGAATCCCAAATGGGTGCCCCGAATTTAGCTCCATCACCCACTCTGCCAACGAACCCTGGAAAGTTTTACCTTTTTAATGCACTTTTCCAGTTCAATTGGTACAATGGTGGCTTGTGTGGGGGACACAGCACAGACAGTTCACACTAAGGAACAACTCTGGGCAGCTTTGCAGACTCCCTGAGAGCCTAAAAAATTTATGACAAAGCTAAAAGCATTGGAAAGACGAATTTCATTTAGCAGGGAGAGACATGAGAGGGATACAAAGCTCCAAACAAAATGAGCAAACCTTTCCCTGGTTTTGTTATCTTGTTTTTTTATGTTTCTGCAATTTCCACTTTAGAAGCCGACAAAGTACGCCTCAAGTTGTTCCAGGAGAAAAAGCATGTCTACTACAAATTTTGGGGACGCACCCCCAACACTGAAGCCTCTGTGATTAAAATAAGGGAACAAAACAGTCACATGTAAGTCTGATTGCGCACTTGTTTGTACTCACAGAAAAACCACACCAACAGTGGGGCTTGTGTTACAAATTAAATACATTTTAGGACCGTCTGAGAAAAAAAAAAACTGGGAGACACAGGGAAAAAGGAGAACAGATTTTAATAAGACAGGCATTTGCCCAATACTTTCCACTCGTCCCTTCCAGAGGTTAAAGAAACTACATCCTATGAGAGTTAAATCTTTTTTTATGAGTTTTAGAAAAAAAACTTCTTGGCACACCCCAGCTTTTACAGAGCAAAAGTAGGCCGCAGTCAGACAAGCCATCATCCTATGAATTTGGAGACTTCTTTTTTTTATTTTTTAGGGCTGCTGGTTTCCCACATATGAAACTCCTAAAGTTTGTTTGCTTATGTTTCAGCAACTGAAGCAATTCTTTCCCTTTTCATCCAAAAACTGTCGTAATTTAGTAATGGATTGCAAACGTGCTTTTACTCAGATTAAACTATGTCATAAAAAAGAGATACTGGGCAGAATCATTGGTCATTTAAATTGCTAGTTTTCCCAACTATACACAACTATATACATATCTTAAATCAGTTTTAACTACGCATAGAATTCCCTTTAGTTCAGCTACCCTATGCATTTTCAGCACATCACCGGTTATATCTAATATCTTAATGTAATGTATACGAACTACATGGTCAGCGTCAACAGATAAAGGAGGGAAATTACGTGAGAGGAAGCAGCTGGAGGCAGTTTGTATGGTCAGTATAGTGTTCATTATGTGAAGTAACCATGACCTAACATTTAAAATATCCTATAATCTATAGGGCTGAGCAGGCAGATTAATACGAGTCACTGCTACCATTTTTCTCTTCAGTCGATTGTTGAATGCACTTGCTGAAGTATGATTCACAGCAGAGAACCTTGGAGAGCACTGCCCCCTTCTGGCATCACTGTAGAGAACAGAAGAGCCCCGCACACAGCCTCAGGATTTAATTTTCCCTGGTCTCAATTGGACGCTGTCTATTTGAGCTAAGTCATTGAGCAAGGACTGGGGCCAGATTCCTCAAGCTTTGGAAAAGAAGAAATAAAAGGGTTTTAATTGCAAATGGACGCCAGGTGGTATCTTTACAAGATAAGGTTAAAAATCATGAGGATTCATGAGGTTTGTGGAGATGTATGGGTTTTTAAAAGAAAATGTAAAAGAAAAAACTTTCAGTCAAGCTCATCTTGCAGCTGGACTGATCATCTTGGGATGATGTAATGTTGTGGAGGGAAACATTTGGTCATGACACTGACAATAAGCTTTAACTAACAAAACAAAGAAAATCCCCTGCCAGAAAAAAAAAAAAAAAAGACAATCTATACTGACGTGACAAAGGCGTTTACCCGGTCTGTAAAGTTGTCATGTCAAAGTATAATTAAACCTTCCTGGGATGGGTAAAATTCCTTATGTTCATCCCATAAGATGCCATCAATCAGCTGCAAACATCGTTCAGCCCCACTACATCCCAGAATTCAACGCTGATGTCTTCATCATTCTCCCAGGTTTAGTTCATGCAAGAGACTCTGGCAAGATATTAAGAAGGTGCCATGAGTGCATGACTGATCCATGTCTTATCCTATCCAAGACCTTTTATCAAAAAGAAAGAAAACAGAAGATTTTACTTTAATTTTATTTTCAGTTCTAATTATTTTTTCTATTTTTGTACCACATCTTTCTGGGAGCTGCTACAAAAGACAACTCGGAACATCTGTTGCTAAAAAGGAGCAGAAGAATAAAGAATCAAGCTAAAACAACTGAAATCTTATAACTTTATTACATTACATCAAAAACATGTACTGTAACGACAATATCTGATCCTGTTGTAATGGAAATCAGACAGCTTACTCAATATACTTTCCAACTACTGCAGGCATTAACTGTGTGTGGATAACAAAAGCCAGCTGTATTTCAAAGGTGGACATTTTTTTTGTGCGCTTCGACAGAAGTCAGGTGGTTGGGAGCAGACCTGAGATAAAAAAAGCATTTGCAAATAACTTCCATAGTGTCAACCAGTGTAGTTCTGCCCTTCACAAGCAAAATTATTTGTATCACAGCAAGATGTATCTTGTTTGTTAAAAAAAAAAAAAAAAAAAAAAAAAAAAAAAAAAAATGACACTGACCATTTCAAAGTTTGAGCTTTAAATCTTTAAACAAAAATTATTTGCAACCACTGTTGGATCCAGGTCATGAGAAAGGTGCAGTAGAGTATACATGATGATCAGGTTCTACTTCTTAGCAGTCTGAAGACGCTCGCTCACGTTCTCCCAGTTGATTACATTCCAGATAGCCTTCACATAGTCAGGACGCACATTTTTGTACTGAAGATAGTAAGCATGTTCCCATACGTCAATACCGAGAAGGGGGATGAGACCTTAGGGACAAAAGTAACCACAAAAAACAGTACTGTCAGGAGAACAGTGTGATTAGGAGAGTCAGAAAGTGGGACTCTTCTGTTTTTTAACCTACCTGTTGTACCGTGTAGGGGATCCTGATTAGCACAGGCAGCAATGCGAAGTCTACCACTCTCTTTGTCATAACCCAGCCAACCCCAGCCTGAGCCCTGAACTGCCACGGTAGCAGCAGACATCTTCTCCTTCATCTTCTGAAAGGAGCCAAAGTCCCGCTGAATGGCCTCCATGAGCTCCCCTATGAAATATCAACAGGAAGCTGTTACTCAGGACTCAACACAACTGACAACACAATAAGTTTTACTCCATAACACTCTATAATTACAAAAAAAATAAATAATAAAAAACTAGTAATATAGTATAAATTTCAGCTTGGCTGCACCAAAGGCCTTCAGCGTAAAGAAAATAAAAACAACATTTTAACAGTAATGAGTGTTTCGGACTTACCTTGTGGTTCGCCTCCACTATTTGGAGAAAGGTTTGTCCAGAAGATAGTGTGGTTAATGTGGCCTCCACCGTTAAACTTCAGAGCCGGCTGGAGGGCAACCTGTGCAGTCACATCTCCTACAATACAAGTCAAATGCACCCAGGACAAATGTTAGCGATAACGGGGATCACAATGACAGCTGATCAAATGTCTGACTACTTCATTAAATGCAAGTTTATGCCTTTTGCAAGTGCCTCCTGATACTTCTCCTCTGTAACGTTGAGGTTGTTGACATATGTGGCGTGGTGCTTGCTGTGGTGCAGCTGCATTATCTCTGCACTGATGTGGGGCTCCAGGGCGCCATAGTCGTACGTCAGGTCAGGGAGGGTGTGCTTCTGCCTTGACGCCGATATCTGATTAATGGTTTGGCTGATGCTTGCTGCACACCTAAAAAGAAGCACAGGCAACCAAAAAACTGTGAGGTATGTCTAGCAACTCACATGAAACCAACTCAAATCTAAAGGTGGCTGTTAGGCTTTGGCATTGCACAGACAGTAGTTTTTAAGTCCCAAGAGGTTATATGTTCATCAGTTCCGAGTTACAAAAGTTTGAGCGGCCTAGAACAATGACTGGAACTGACCTCAACTGAACTTTTGGTGTTCTTGCAAGATTTTGGTAGCTGTGGGCAAATGTTAGCTTACTAAACTAGTAGCATTCAATATGTGTTGTTTAAAAAGTGTCGACATTTTACATGAACCTGTTTACATGAACCTGTTTACAGAGGGCTGTAAATTCAGGGTAAAAATAACTACACAAATCCCCTGGTTTGCTGCGCCATAAGCTAACTCATCTGGTTAGCATCCTGTGTAGCTAACTGTTAGCGCTCAATAAACAACAGTTTCAAGTTCATGTTCATCTTGCTGCTCTAGGGAGTCATGTCTCGCTCAATCTTTGTGCGCTCTAAACGCGATATCTCCTTTAGGAAACGAGGCTGAGGTGTGTCTTACCTGCGTATTTGACCAACTCTGCACAGCATGTTTCTAACAGTTGTCAGTGTTTAGCCAGGACAGAGCAGACACGCTGGTCAGAAACTGCCCTTGAAATGTGCGATTTCAAGTTGACAGAACGGCCGACTGTACCATTATGAAGAGACGGGGGTGGTGACAAGGCGTTCACAACTTACATAAGATGCGGTGTTGGTCTTGAAATTTAATGGGACAACTAAAATCCTTGCTTCTTATAATAATAAAGAAAATAGTATTAGAATACCGCCCTGGAATATCCTAGATTCGAATAACAGCCTTTTAAATAATAAAAAAATACACGTGACATACGTTTTTACCCCAATCTGAATGAAGAAAGGTTTAGAAAATAACACGAAAACATATCACCATTAAACAATAACAGTTTTAAACAGCTGTAGGTATTTTTTTTATATTTCTTTATTATCTAAAAAACATAATTCTCCCCTCATAATATCAAACGGCAAAAGCATGGAGTGACATGGATGTTTCCATCTTTACGTCATAGGCAACTCCAGAGATCGTCTATACAATGCATTTACAAAATTGGAATAACTAAATTTTTTATTTTCCAAAGACACGTGTGCAGCCATTGGTCATCATAATGTATTAGCCTTTCTTGTCCTTTCTGAATTATTTGGATTGTAATTATTTTTGTCCTGTTTTGTCCATTTATCCTGTTCGGGATCCTAGTCGTCAATTAGGATTGGTGTGTGTGACAGGCTACACATTGGAATGTGGGACCATTTGATCAAACTAGAAAAACCCGTATAGAGCCCACATATGTACATAAAAGCACACGACCAACAAGTCCACACAAGTAGACCCAAACTGGTCTAATCGCCACACCATCATGTAGCCCACTTCATCTTGGTTATTCAGTTTGGTTGTTTACAACAGACTCTTTGCAGGCCAGAGGTTCAAATCAATTAACCAAGTCCATTAAAAAAGGTCCATATCATGGCACCAACTATCTATTTTTTAATTGAGTAAAATGTTTAAAGCTTTTTGGTGTTTTTCATTCGTTGATACTAAGGAATAATCTAAATTTTGAAAGCACATGTTTTAATATTCAATCAAGAATGATAATAATTTGTTTTGAGTGGTACTCAAACGTTAGGATCCTGAAAAGCCTATTGAGTGATACATCTTCCTACGCGCTCGGATCTCTGAGATTACTCCGCAGCAACTCGAGTGCAGAGCAGCAGCAGCTCATCCAGAGCCATTTCTGCCCTCCGCAAGAAAGATGATAGACACTACGCCGATGCGAGAGAGCAGCTTATAAATTTACACCACATTTTAACCGTCTTTGTTGTATTCCGTTTTACTGAGAGGCAGAGGGGTTCTTGAAACATCGAAAGAAACGGGCCTGGTGAGTGTTTCGTTGACATTAGGCCTGGTACCAGCGGCCAAGAGCCCGCTAGTTTCAGGAAAAGGAGTGCAAGGGAGGGAGTCATTTCCTTCACCGCCATTTTGTGATAACAAGGAGGCGAAATAGAGCCAAGGATTACACGCTGCCTGGCCCAACATCAAAAAGATGTTGTAGCTTAACACCGTAGGTCCAGAAAATCGAGTCTTTGCAAGGGGATGCTAGATGTTATTAGCAGTAGTGAGTTAACCTTGGCTAGCTTCTTTACTGTTCCTAGCTGTCCGCCGCCGTAGGCTGCAACACTAACCAACATCGGGCTCCACAGCTCTTATTGATTGGTTTTATTAACTTTGATTCGATTGACCCATTAGCTGAGGTCGTCGCCTTACACCATCGGCGTTTTTGAGTTGGTGGGAAACCGTATGATAATAAGCAGTTTAACAGTAAGTCGTACATGGCGTGTATTTCTGCATGCGCACAGCCAACTCGGTCCAGACCAGAAGATGATGCGGTGGATTCAGCTCACAACACCGAGCTGCATTGGCTGATGATTTTCTCTCATCTATTTTCTTTTCAGAGTTCACAATGACCAACGAGGAACCTCTGCCCAAGAAGGTTAGTGTCTGCTCTAGACGATCGTCTCCTTTGATCGTGTCCATTAGGTATTAAAATGACTCTGGATTTCGTCATCTGACCAATAAATGGTGTCCTTTTTTTTTTTTTTACAGGTTCGTCTCAGTGAATCTGACATGAAGACTCTGACTAGAGAGGAGTTGTGTACAAGGTAGAGAGTCCCCCTCCTGTTGATGATTAGTGATGCAGTGTTATCTTTTTAAGATGAGCTGTTACATGTTCTGCTCTTCTCAGGTGGAAGCAGCATGAAGCATATGTCCAGGTCCTGGAGGCCAAATATGCAGAGCTGTGTTGTAAGTACACCCGCCAACATGAATGCAATAACTATAATGGGATTTCCTACAATACTGCACAGTGCTTTTGGGTAGCAACAAAAAATAATTTGCTTGTGGTTTGTCTTAGCCAACGATGTACCGGGACTGAAGGAGTCGGAGGAAAAGCTCAAACAGCAGCAGCAGGAGTCCGCACGCCGGGAGAACATCTTGGTCATGCGACTTGCCACAAAGGAGCAGGAAATGCAGGAGTGCACGGTATGCATCTGCTCCACCTCATTTCTGGTTTCCCTTTGAGATGTTTTTCTTAGTTATTTATTTTTTATTGGACCCAACGTGTAAGTGGTTCCTTCCTTTTTAGGCTGCTTCATGGATCCTGCTGAGTAGACACAGGTGTTACTTTACCTATGTAAGATTACATTTTTTGGTCAGGGTCTTGGTTAGTCTGTAATGTAAGTGCACAAATCCTTTATTAACAAGCCTTCTGCAAATATTGCGCAGAAAGTCAAAGTTAACCATTAGTTAACTGCTGTGACTTTAATTACTGATTTATTACAACTCCAAACAAACCCTGTATAGTGTCATTTGACATGAAATCCTGTTATGGCAAGTACTTGTGGGAGGTTTGTTACTCCTGTCGGCAGATTAAAAAGCAAACAGCACTTTCCCTTGTAGTCATTTGGGATCATGAAAAGTAGGCCAAAGGTGAGTTGTGTGCAGGAGGGCATCTTTGCTCTTATCAGACTGACAGCTCAATGGATCAGCCGGTGGCTTTATGGCAGCATATGGCATTCTTGAAGAGCCCCTTACACAGGGTTACTTGGAGACTGAGCGGGTTTAACCCGGACTCCTGGTGTTTGCTTTCACGCTGAGGTTCAGACTGTAATGAAACTTAATTGCTTGAATCAAGCAGCTAAAGTGGCTATAACACCTACATTAAAAATACAGCCAGTGCTCAAGACTGATTTAAATAATGGGGGAAAAACTGGGTCAAGTGCAGTGATCTTCACCTCAAATTGCTTCCTTTTCAATCGTCGCTAACAGCTGTTTGTTTTATCCCACAGACCCAGATTCAGTACCTCAAGCAAGTCCAGCAGCCCAGCGTGGCCCAACTGCGGTCATCCATGGTGGACCCAGCCATCAACTTGTTTTTCCTCAAAATGAAGGCTGAACTGGAACAGACTAAAGACAAACTGGAGCAGGCCCAAAATGAACTGAGTGCCTGGAAATTTACACCTGATAGGTAAAGACAATCAAAATAACTCCCCCCCTCAAAAAAAGTCAAGACTTCCTCACGCCCCCCACTCTCACTGCAGGCATGCAGGAACAATGGTGGGGGGGAAGGCTGACAAATGCTGTACTCACCACGAGACTCAGACTTTACAGAAAGCCAGTCACTGCAAAAACAAAACTGCTTTTGTACTCTTGAACAGTGCCAGCTACATATCACATAACCTAAAGAGAAAAGACAGTATGGTCAGGTGACACTTGTGTTTCAGCTCCCCCCTCGTATCCCCTCACCGTCCAAGGGCCAGAAGGAGTCCGGACTGTTCTGAAGAGGTGGTCACTCACTTCCAGCCGTGGATATGCCCTCCCCACCCCCCAAGCCCAAAGCAGACAGTTGACATATTAAGTAGGGGGTTATGGGGAAGGCGGTGTCAGGCAGGGAGCATCCCTAGCCTAAAACATCTATTGAACATTCTAAAGACAATTCCCACACTTTGCTTGATAAAGACATTTAACTGTGGATCACACCACACAAAAACCTGCTAGTTCTCTTAAGAAATGTAAAGACTTTCTGGAAAGTCTAGGTACGATAACATGAGGAAGGCCTCTAGGATTTAAAAGTCAGACTTTTTGGGGAAAGAGTCTCTAGAAATGACATTTAAGACTGTGAGCGGAGCCTCGGTCCACAAAAGGACACTGGTTCAGGCCGAAGGACCGTCCGCCTGTGTCTGAGCATGGGCCTACACACGGTAGAGTGTATTTCCATGTCTTCTTTGTGAATTGTTTCTTTATACTGGCATTTAATTTGCTCTCTTGTTTCTCGGAAACACTTACTGCAGTGTGAACCCAGAAGAACGATTGGCCTCAGTCATTGGCCTTTGTCTACATGACTTCATAGAAATTGAACTGATACTGAAACACGCTGCCGTAGGTGTACTGATGCCTGTCATAAAGTTGTGAATGCAAATGTCCTTAACAAGCCATGTGATGAGTTGACAAGGATGTATTTATTGTATTTGATGTATTTCTGTCATTGACCAATCAATTTCTCCCGCAGCCTCGTAGCTTGAAGCTCTAGACTGTTCTGTCCTGTTCTGTGTGGCACAGAGTATTTAGCCACTGTGATAATTCAGAATGAATCAGTCTTGGTATTTGTTTTGTTTTTTTATTTTTTGAACATTTTACTTTCATCTCTCACACCCCAGTGTGACAGGGAGATTTTTAGGTGGCAGGAAATCTGGGAATGCTTAAATAGTGTTTCCTCCTGGCACTGAAGTCGTTAATGGTTAACATAACTGGTATCACGGGTATCATTTCTTGATCATCCCTTTAATGACTGTTAAGGGTTTTATTGGATATAGTTGCTGCCATAATGTGTGCTTTCCATAGGCATTTCTGAACAAAATGGATAGCAGTTAAATATGCTTTTAAGTGCTCAGTATGTCAGTCCTGTGAATTTTGATGAAGGAAGACAAAACCACAATAACTGTTAATTACATTACAGTTCCCAACGATAACGTTATTTGCCATTTTGTGAAGTTTAGCCAGCAGCACCTGGAGCAGTTTGTACATTTAAAGCACTCGCTCTTAATGTATTGATGAGCATCATAAACGAAATCTGCCTGGCCCTCCAGGGCACATTTCCCAGTTTTCATAGAACATTACTCTGCTCGGTTAAATGGATCAGTCTATCACACACACACACACGTTTTCTTCACAACCAGAGGTGTTATTGTTACTCGGGTCTTCAGATTTAACTTTTGCTAGCTGCAGAATTGCTTCTGTTATTTTATTTTTTTTCAATGTTCTCTTTTCCATCCATGTGTTACATGGTAAATTAGGTCATAGAAAGACGATGAATGCATTGCTTCCATAACAATGTTGGTCAAATGATTCAGAGAAAATGAGGACAGCGGTTTCTTTCCTTAAACTCATAAGTTTTAACTTGATCATGTAAAGAGAAAATATTTCTGTACTTCAGATCATTTACAAGGAATGATATGCATGTTTGTTTTAGGACGGGTCTGGCAGAGTTGTCCTGATCATATTTCCAATACAAACAGTCATACTTAATGAAATTCAACAAGCCATTTGGTGATGACGCGATGGAAGAGATTCTGTTGACCCCCAAAAAGATGGGCATGGGTCGGACAACAGGAAACCGGTCAATGGTATCTCTCTGCCTGTGCTGGTTGTGGTGTCTCCTGGTTCGCTGTGTGATGTGAGACTCGTTTCCTTTGCAGCCAAACAGGGAAGAAACTGATGGCCAAATGTCGAATGCTGATTCAGGAAAACCAGGAGCTGGGCCGGCAGCTGTCCCAGGGACGCATCGCCCAGCTGGAGGCTGAGCTGGCCCTGCAGAAGAAGTACAGTGAGGAGCTGAAGAGCAGTCAGGATGGTGAGAGCACCAGAAGCACACACTTGTGCATATCTACTGTCTTTTGTTTTGTGTTAATTTTGACTGTTTTCTGTATTTGGGATTCCCGCTCTCAGAGCTGAATGACTTCATCATCCAGCTTGATGAGGAGGTTGAGGGCATGCAGAGCACCATCCTTGTGTTGCAGCAGCAGCTGAAAGAGTCCCGTCAGCAGCTGTCTCAGCCCCAGGGAGCCCTGGCCGGAGCAGGACCCAGCAGGACTTCACCGGGTGCCTCTAACCCGTCCGCTGACCCCTCCACTCAGCCAGAGCAGGTCAGTGCTCCCTCCGAACCCATGGGCAAAGACTACGGGAGGATGGCCAACGGTCCCAGCAACGGGAGCTCCTCCCAGAGGAGCGAGACCGCCACACCCAGCCTGTACAGGGAGGTCAGCAGCACCGAGGAAGATTTCGCCATGTCCCCCATCGAAGCTGAGACAAAACTCTCGAATCACTCGGAGGAGGCCGCGGCGAGTCAGACCGCCTCGGGGAGAGCCGGAGGACCCGTGGGTTTCGGGAGCCAGCTGAGCGCGGGGTACGAGAGCGTGGACTCTCCCACCGGCAGCGAGACGTCATTGACTCAGCACTCGAATGACACAGACTCCACCACCGATCCCCACGAGGACAAGGCCGCCCTGGTGACCAAGGGCACCAGGACTGCAGGGTCACGGCATGGTCAGAATGGCCTGGACTCCAGCACAAGCGAGGGGGCCGTTTTGTAATGTACTTAGACATGTTTTGCTTTTTCCTTTTTTGTTTTTTTATATACAATTTACAAACAAGGCAACAAACGCATAGTCTGTAACACAGCTCTGCTGTCCGAGAAGTTTTGTTTTCACGCTTGTCCCCTTGCCTATGGTGATGCCTTTGTCACATTTGTGTTGCTTAATGGGGATGTAACAGGAACTGGTTAATGTTAGATTTGAATTGTGTGGATGTATGATTTAAAACTAGTACCTTTCACTTTGTTGCTTATTTAAGCACATCTATGCTGTTTATTTGAGCTCTTGACACTTAAATCGGACATCTGGTGTTGTAACCCATTGTCAAGTCAGTAAAATCACGGAATTTATAGTTGCTTCCCATAATTCAAGGAGGTCATGTTTTAGATGTTGGCCTGTCTGGGTTTTTCTTTTTTTTTTTTAAAGTACAATTCTCATTTTTCATTGGCTAAAGAATATGTGTTTGAAATATTCTGCTGAAATGTGAATAGTTCATAATGCAACATTCATATTCTGACTTCAGCCTTTTTCATGTACTGACCAAATACAAATAAAATTTTTAATACTATAGAATGAATTATTCCTAGTCATCAATAACGCCAGGAAAATCATTTTGATGAAGTATTATCTGCTGTATAAGGGAAATAAAACTACATTATTGCCTTTTAGTTTAAGTCAATCTAAAGCAAATGACAAGGAAAACCAAAAACCTAGATTTGTTGACATCTATTTTAAAGCTATCACAAAAAGCGCTGAATGTACAGTACAAAGTCACAGGTGACATAAAAGTGCTTTTTGAAATGGTTCACAATAGAAATGTACAGAAATATTTTTAAGGGTGTGACCTATAAAAATATACTTGTATTAATAGTACATTATGAAGTTGGTAGTTTAACGATGTGTACATGGGGATTACATCACGTTCTTCCCGGAAGTGGGTGTAATAACCATGTTGGTTATCCTCCCGAACACATGGTGGCGCTGCTGCGCCCACCAGGAACACTTGTATAAAAACCGTCCAAGCGTTCATGCTGTGTCAACAAAGCAGTGTGTGACAACCAGGAACAGTTCATTAAAGCCAGGACTTCTCCTCCAACCTCCCCTTGATCAAAATGAACACTGAACCAGTTGTCATCGTTTCTGCCGCACGGTCTCCAATTGGTAAGGTTACAAATGCCTTAAGTTATACTCATACTCATTCATTTTCTTACCATGCTGCTCTACTTCTTCAAAGTAGGAGCTTTATGAGACTGCATTCGGTTTGGCTTTACAGGAAACCTCTGAAATAATCATAATTTTTGTTGTATATCATCTAGAACTGTGGCAACTCTGCTCCATTTACTGATTAATTTGCTGTTTTAATTAAGCTAAGTGGTGATGCCCTTCAGTTAAACATGCAGACTTGTCGCTGGGCTGTGATTGGTTCGCTCCTGTGTCCCGTGGGCTGACTGGCCAGAGATTGGCTGGTGGCTATAGAGCCATGTTGCACTAACCTGATTTGATTTGCTGCCTACATGTGTCCTGAATGACTTGATATAACTAGGCGTGTTTTGTTTACTATTTGGAATATAATTGACTTACCATTTCGGCCCTTAAATGTAATTCAAGTCACTTAATTTTTTTTTTATCTTGATAAAGGAAAAAACATATTCTCTGCTTTAGTATTACTTTAATTCAATATATTGATAATCTTCCCATGCTATGTGGGCTTTTAGATTTTAAAGTTTTATTTAGTGTTCTGATTACCTATATGTTTTTTTTTATACTAACGGACTGTTGCCTTGAAGGGCAACATAATTTCAGAACCGCACTAAACCTAACAGCAACAAAACAACATTTTCTAAGAACATTTTCTTTCTTTGAGTTTGATACACTCTTGCAGGCTCTTTTGATCTGAAACACTCACCATGTAACAATGAAAAGGTTTTCAAATGGATACTATTCTTCTGATAATATCGTAGTAAATGACTGATATCACACAGGGTCCTTGAACGGTGCTCTGTCCTCCGTGCCGCTGCATGACCTGAGTTCGGCTGTGATCAAGGAGGTTCTAAAGCGGGCCGGGGTGAAACCAGAGGATGTCTCTGAGGTTATCATGGGGCATGTCTTAACAGCAGGTAAAAGTTGGAAACATTTCCAAGAGGCTCTGGATTTGTGTGGCATATTCACAACTTGATTTGGACTATTCAATCTCATTCACCTGGATAGACTCTTGCATTCCATATTTCATTTTTTTTCTCCTTGAGGCCATGGACAGAACCCAGCACGAAAGGCCAGTGTAGGGGCAGGTATCCCCTATCCCGTCCCTGCATGGAGCTGCCAGATGGTGTGTGGCTCTGGGCTTAAAGCCGTCTGTCTCGGAGCTCAGTCGATCCAGGCTGGAGAGTCCACTGTGGTTGTGGCCGGAGGCATGGAGAGCATGAGCAGGGTATGTGTTCAGAAGAGCGCTCGGCAACAACCTGAATTTAAGAAAGGGTCGTACGTCTTCACACTTTTCCTTTTGTGTCATCGCAGGCTCCTCACACAGTGCAAATGAGAGCGGGGGTGAAAATGGGCGACGCCTCCCTGCAGGACTCCATGGTGGCCGACGGCCTGATGGATGCCTTCCATGGCTACCACATGGGAGTCACAGGTCTGTACTTGGAGTAGGTGTCGTCGGTTGTAGCGTATCATCCAGTGTTTTTATACCCTCTTGCATTACATTTCTGATAAATATCCGCCAGCTGAGAACGTGGCCAAACAGTGGGGCATCAGTCGAGAGGAGCAGGACCGGTTCGCAGTCAAGTCCCAGAACAGAACGGAGGCGGCCCAAAAAGCGGGACATTTCAACAGGGAGCTTGTCCCCATCGTGGTGCCATCCAGAAAAGGTGAGGACCTCTCTCCCACTACCTGCCAGCCTGTCCGCAAACGATCTCACTCTCGATGGTCTCCCAGGTCCAGTGGAGGTGGCGGTCGATGAGTTTCCTCGACACGGCAGCAACATGGACAGCATGTCCAAACTCAGACCCTGCTTCATCAAGGACAGCAGCGGCACCGTCACCGCTGGAAACGCATCAGGTGTGCCCGCTGCTCTTCCTCCTCTTGAAACATGTTGGATTATCTCCCTGGTCATGTCTGCCTGGTTTTACCAATCACTCACAGTCTTTCCTTTTTAATGTTCATTTTCAAACGTATTCCTGTGCTGCATAGTGTAGCTGCTTGACCTCTAAGTGATGCAATGTATGTATCACACATTTTTAAGTTAGCTGTTTGGGAAGAGAGGTAATGTCCTTTTAAGAAAGAACACATATGGGATACCTGAAATGTTTTTGCAGGTATTAATGATGGGGCAGCAGCAACTGTCCTAATGAGCCAATCAGAGGCAGAGAGGCGAGGCATCAAACCCCTGGCCAAAATCGTATCATGGGCTCAGGCTGGCCTTGACCCATCTATTATGGGAACTGGACCAATACCAGCCATCAAGAAAGCGGTGAGGAATCGGCAGTAATAAATGTCAATTACTTTTTTTTCTTCTTCCTCCATCTAATTTCTGATGGTGCCACTTGCCGTCTTAGGTTGAGAAAGCAGGCTGGCAACTTGACCAGGTTGATTTATTTGAAATCAATGAAGCGTTTGCTGCACAATCGGTTGCTGTGGTCAAAGAGCTTGGCCTTAATGAGGATAAGGTAAGTTAGGAGTCATGCTATATGTTACAGATGTTGTTTGTTTCGTTTTCTTTGGGGGGGGGGGGGGTGTTTTTCATCTTGTAAAAGTTTCTTTGTGTTTACCTTGAGCTGTCGCTCTGACCCCTGCAGGTGAATGTGAGTGGTGGTGCCATTTCTCTTGGCCATCCAATCGGTATGTCCGGCTGCAGGGTGCTGGTGACTCTGATCCATGCCCTCCACAGGACCGGGGGATGGACGGGAGTGGCGTCCCTTTGCATTGGTGGAGGGATGGGTGTTGCCATGTGTGTGGAAAAGGCTTGAAAAATTGCTACTCAGCAAATTGCACTTAATCTAATCTTCTCCTAAACAAAAAAGGGACAATGAAATCTAATGTTTACAATGAACAATATGTAAGGCCTGCAGTTTACCCATCTTATGCTAGTCTGCTTAAAATGTGAAATGTTATGCGATCCTAATTGGGAGTCATTCTCAGTGAACTTTTAACTTCCCCAGGTTTAATGCTTGATGTCGCTTAGTTAAATGTCTCGTCGGTGCAAATGATCCAAATCTTTTGTATGTATTGAAAGTAGAAGTCACGTTTTCATATGATGGAAATAGCTTTGCACTGACTAGGTACTAATGGAAAACCTCATTACAGCACCGTCCTGCATCATTTTAACAGCTGGTGATCTAAAGATAAGGTTAAAACTGAAACATTCCATTATGGTCTTAAACTTCTGTAACAGATGCTGTGTAGAATCCTATGCAAGTGCCATAACGACTCGGCTTAGCCTCTGTAAAATTGTTCTTCCTGTAAAATGATGCTCAAATTACCCTGTAATTTAAAAGAATATCTGACATAGTAAAGAATTAGAAGCTACCAAGTCTTTTAACTTAAAAAAAACAACATGGAAACAATTTGATGGATCAGTCACTTGCACCCATTGGAGCTTTATTTTGTGTCCAAAATAACAAAAAAAACAAAAACAAGATCACATACAGTTCCTCTGGAAGCGGCGGGGAGTGGGACATCAGTAAACGGGCAAAGTGCACGGCCTTTTCTAGAGCAACGCTACAACGGGCTCGGCGTGTTATAAATACAGACATTGAACCTACTAGAACCAATGAGACTTTCAGCCCTCCAGAGAACCAGAGGCCACAGCATCCTGGTAGGATTGCCCGCCCTCTTTCGGCTCTGGGAACAGTTTGATGAGGTCATCGATGCGGAGGATGGTGATGGCCGCCTCGGTGGCAAACTTGAGGCTTTTGGTCTTTACCATTGTGGGTTCGTACACGCCAGCCTGACGGTTGTCCCTGGGTTTGCCGTTTACCAGATCCAGACCAATCCTTGGGAAGGAAAAGGTGAGAGTCAAACAAACCAAATATCTCAAGGAGATTAACACCAGTGATATGGTGCTTTACTGCAAAGAACACAGTAAAGACTAGCGTATGAAGCGGTTATTCAGGGTCACGAGGTGCACGGTGAAGCTCACCACTTGAGGTTCTTGCGTTCAGGGTTGACCTGAGCCTCGTTGTGGAAGGCCCGCAGCTTGGCCACCAGGTCGGTGGAGTCCTGTGCTGCATTCACGGCCAGTGTTTTGGGGATGACCAGAAGAGACCGAGCAAACTCAGCAATGGCAAGCTGCTCTCTGGAACCCTGAAACGTCAGTGCAGAGAACAAGAGAGTTTAGTTCCCTACCGAGAACAACAAACGCACCCGATTTCTGACAAAAAACTAACCATGCTGGTAGCATAGTTCTCCAGGTAAATGGACAGAGCAGCCTCGACAGCACCTCCTCCAGGTACTACAGACTTGGACTCCAGTACCCTCTTGACCACACACAGAGCGTCATGCAGAGAGCGCTCCATCTCATCACACATGAAGTCGTTGGCTCCGCGCAGAACGATGGAGGCTGAGCTCCGGGCTTTGGTGCTGAGTGGAACAAAGCTTTGCTTTAGCAACAGTAAATTCAGTCCATCTTTTGACCATTTTAAATCTCCATTTACTTCAAAAGACTATTGTACAAAACATGACCATGTTCCTCATTAAAGCTCAGGATGTAAGCAGAAAACATGGAACACAGAGCTCATCTACGTTTTTCTTTGCCTTTTTAGATAGTAAAACATCTTGCGGCAGTTCTTACTTCTTGATAAGGATGAGCTCGTCATCACAGATACGCTCTTGCACAACTTCCTCTGCCTGGCCGAGCATAGTGACCTCAAATGATTCTTCTCCCTCCAGATTGGACAGAGATGGGCAGACAGTGGCTAATGGACAGAAAAAGCAAAGGTCAAATACTCTGATCAAACTAGCTTTGCTATGACAGTAAGGTATGTTCAGGTTTTTCATCACAAGCTGCAGAAAATGTCTTCCTTACCTCCTGTTGCCTTGGCAATTCGTTTGAGATCTTTTTTGAGAACCCTTCTCACTGCCATGGCTCCAACATCCACAAAGTACTTCAAACACATATCATCTATGCCACCAGTGGTCAGAATGACATTTGCTCCGGCTGCCAGAATCTTTTGGATCCTCTCTTTGGTGATATCAGATTCCCTGGATGAAACGAGCAGAATCGACCGTTTTTATTCCTCCTCACATATGCAACTGCTCTACTTTGAGTCAAAGCCTGTCCGGCTAACAATATCTACAGCTACAGCAAATCAAATATGATGATTTGTATATACATGTAAATTAGTGAAATGGAGAGAGAAATACTGAGAAATCCACCTTTGTCTGATCTGGTCAAGCTTCTCTGGATCATTAATGATGACTTGAACACCCATCTTCATTTTGGTCTTCTGCAGACTAAAGTCCAGGCAGGCAATCTTAGGATTTACCACACGCTTCACCATTCCTTTGGATCAAGAGCATATAACCATCACCAGAAATATGGAGCAACAAACAGACTATCATACTATGACATGATTTAGAGGCCCTTTGATTAGTCCATTGTCTGGCCAGAAGAAAAGCCACAGTATACACATGCTGCGACTATGTTCCTTTCAAGCCGGATTACTGTCTCCCACGCGTATCACTGCACATACCATCAAAGACGCATAGCAGCAAATTTAAATGGGAGTTTAGTTAGTGGCACCTGGATAATGGGGTTGTGAAATTAAAGCACACCTTGTGAACCCACTGTGCAGTTTAATGCATATCCGTTGACCAGGAAACTCTCCTTCTGGCTGCGGCCGTGGGCTTTCAGCACGTTCACAGAGTTTATGGGATACTTGGCCACTCCTTTGCCGTCAACAAATTTCACAGCCATGGCAGCATCCACCACCATGTTAGCAAAGAATTCTGAATCACTGAAAACTTGAGGTCAAGGCAGATAAACACAACAGAGTGTCTCTCTGCACAGACAGAAAAGTAGTTGTTGCTAAGAAAAACCTGTGAGAACTTTCAGTCAAATCAGTCCTATTTTCAGGATACACTCCAATGATTTTGGAGGACATGGAGGTCCTGGCTGCATTGATAAGGCACTCTCTTCCCAGGTCATCTGTCCCGATGGTTAGATTCTCATTTATGTATCGCACCGCTTCCCTATATGAAAACATTTAAATCAAAGCCCATCAGAAAACTTTCAAATCAGAAATATCCAATGTCGTCCCTAAGTTAAACCAGGCTTACTTGCAAGCTAGACGATATCCACTAATGACTGACGTGGGGTGAATCTTTTGCTTTACCAGCTCATCTGCGCTCTTCAGAAACTCTGCAGCCAGAATAACCTTTAAAATGGACACACAAAAAGTATTGTTGTAGATAACCAAAACTGACAAATGCAAATACAACCCTCATTTAAATGTACCAAAGCAATATTTAAAGTTTCAACGTGTGTTTTGTGCCATCATTTTATTAGGAGTGGCAGAAGTGAGACTGCTCGACCCCTTCAGACAATGATGAACAAGTACTATTTCCTGTTAGCATAGCCACACATATGTGAAAGAAGGCAGATGTGTAGTACTAAAACAGGACAGCATGATTAAATTATTCCCTTAAGATGAGAATTGACTGCTTAACACATCTTCTACTGGCTGGTGAAGAGCTGCTTCTCACCACAGACGTGGTCCCATCCCCAACTTCCTTGTCCTGCAGGTCAGCCAGTTCACAAAGGACCTTGGCAGCTGGGTGCTCCACTTCCAGCAGCTTCAGGATGGTCGCTCCATCATTGGTAATGGTCACGTCCTGTACAAACAGAGGTTTTTCACCACTTGAGCAGTTATTCATATTTGCCATATATAAATAGTGGGTTAAATCAATATTCATGAGTTATATCATCATTGCAATCTGACCACATACATCAATACACTGAAACATCGGCATCAACCCTTACCAAAGTATTAAGTATCAGACTTAATACATGTCCCTCTGCACTTTTGACATTATGAATGCCTCATTGCGGCAACAGAAGATGATTGATTCATTAAATTGAATAGACATAAGAAATAACTTAAGAAAAACCAGCTAAATATTGCTTGTATGTGACACACACCCCAATATCGTCCACCAACATCTTGTCGAGGCCAACGGGTCCGAGAGAGCTCTTAACGATGTTGGCGATGGATGCTGCAGCCATGACTGTGAAGACAAAAAGGAGGCTACAATCACATCTGTAACGTACAACCGACAGTTAGAAACTCAATGTTTTTTATGTTAAGTCGATTAGTTTGCAGCGTGCATACTGAGCTAGCCACACCTTCAGACCATGACAGTGTGTTTCACCCTCTACCATTCATCCCACCATTCATTGAAATACGAGTAGAGGGGAATAAAACGCAAAACAACAAAATATTCTGCTATACATTTGTATAAAACACAAAAGTATGGCACCTTGACGCAGTTACTTATTTAGCCAATTCTTACAGTAAAGTTAGCATTAGCATTGACCACACGTGTTACACGGAGAAGCACTGCGTATGTACATATGGCTCGTGAAACGTGCTCGAAAGGTTTTATACGCACGCAAAATTATGCAACTCAAAGACTCACCATTCTGGGTGCGAACAGATTCGCCAGTTGTCCTCTGGCCGAACACATTTAACGGACCCTCCAAAAGCGACATTTTGGAGCACTGAAAGACCAAGAAGAAAGGAAGTGCCGCAGTGCACTGTGGGTAAACCGGTGCTGGGAAGAAGGTTCGAGAAGAAAAATCCTCTCAAAATTAAGGTTTAACTCAAACGAGAGTTTTCACTTATATAATGAATATCAAACTGAAGCAATTTCCAACATAAAAACTTCTCCCTGTAAATGAAAAAACGTGATATTGCGATGTTAATATTCATGAACTCAATTTCCCAGCAGTCTCAGGTTTTAACACCGCCCATCATTCTTCTTCTGTGCTCACGTATTCATTTTAGGTTTGTCAGGCCAACAAAAGCTCTGAACTGGAATGTTTTGACACGAGCGACTCCTGGTGACATGCCGAATTGTCAATGTTGTGTTTTATCCAATGTAAAAGTCTCTTATTTAATCAAGTTTTCTTTTTTAAGTTGCTTAATGTGTTGTTTTTTTATTTTATAATAAGTAGAGGAGACGTATTAACTGATTTAGTGGTTTTATTCCATAGCTCCGGCACAACTCCATGACAGCGGTATATGCAACAACTCCAACAACTCTCGCGGGGCTACTACACATGCGCCTGAACACTGTTGCATGCTGGGTATTAGAGTTCTAGAGCTTCCACGCTCATGATATCACACTCGAGTTTTAAGTTTTTTAAGGAAACTTTTACATTTGCTTAGAGACGCATTTTCAGTACGCATTTTCTGGGATTTTGAAATACAACATGACGGGTTACTTGATTAATTCACTTGATTTATTATTCAAACAAACCAAGAAGTAATAATGAGTGTCATTTCATCCACGAGTTCTTTTGTTTGAACTAATCCAGCATTTCTTGTACTGCTCAATTGACCATGTTCTACTGACTGTAAAAGAAAGCTTGACTGGCTAACAGTTTTTTTAAAGACATATGCATCTGTCTTTCTTATCATAGTGTTAGTGTCTTCATCAATTCACAGGTCTTTGATACTATAGAATGCCTCAGTTGTTTTCATTGATTTATCTGGATTTCTGACATTGTTTTATGTGAGGAAATTTGGCAGCACAGCAGATAATTTCACCATCCAAAGAGTGTCTAACATCCCCCGTAAGCGGTTTTGCAGTCACAAAAGAATTGTAATGGCTAGTTTTCGTGCAATCCATCAAGTATCTCAGCAAGAACATTTTCTTTGTCTTCAAGGTCTTGACTGTTTGCACCCTTGGTCTTCATTTCTGTGAGATATGAACAAAAGAAGCAGTTTCCTAATACGCTTAATTGTTCTTCAATGTCTCTTCCTACTAAGCTTGGTAGTTTCACCTGGAGAGTGAGAATTGAATAAACTGACGAGGACAAACACAGAAATTGGAGACGAATTAGAATTTATTACCTCCAATACATGTTTTTGTTGAGCAATGACTACAAGGCCAGTTAAAAAAATACAGTACACTTAACTTACATGTCAAAGCATTATAAAGCATGTATGGCATATCTATGGCATACAAGAATAACTCTCCTAAAATGTACATCTTTACAAAGTGTTTACAAATATGCAAAAAAATGACCGAAAAGTGCAAACAAAAAGAGTCAAAGACTGACATATATTCCCCACCATTAAAACAAAAATAAACAAAAAACAGAAAAAAACATACTTCATATTCCAATCTTGGGTTTGATGCAATTCTCCGGTTGTGAGCAGTCGAACATGATGTGCTTTATTTCACCGACTTTGTGAGTCCAAAATTGAGTATTTTGCAGTGCGTGTCAGTTATATTCACAGTAGTTGATTCCAATTTCGTGTATCAAAATAATTCCACAGCCACCTTTTAATAAATGTCTTACTTTCATTTACAATCACTTCGTGGCTCGTAGTGAGAGTGACAAGGCTGTAAGATAGAGTTGCTTCCAAATAAATAGCCCATGTGCAGTGATTTACTTTTTTGTTTTATAAAGTAATTCTGTGAAGGGTAAATACTGACTTTCTTTGAGGGAAAGCAAACTAATGTGAACCCAGATAAAGTTTTGACATTATCAATGTGACTCATTGTGTAAGTGAGGATGTGAAATCAGTAGTGTGACAGCGTCCAAAGACGTAAACAAGTTCAGTAAAGAAGAAAAAAAAAAGGACATCAAATACGGAACTGTGGTATATTAAGTAACTCCCCTTGATGCTTCATGTAATGGTCCCTCTTAAAAACAAATTGTGAAATGAGAATCATTTATTTCAAAAAAAGGAAAAAAAAGTGTCATCTGCTTGTTGAGACGAATGTTCTGCCCATCGACAACACCACGTAAAAACATTTCAGACTTTTGCTGACGGATTCAAAATAAATAAGGATTCCTATTACTTCTTACAAACGTATCTAAAAATATCAGCGTTTTGTCTCAGTCTTTAAAGCATGACACCCTACTGGTGACAGGTGATGGACGAGTGACACATTAACTTCAAATAGACTAAAAAGTCTATGCCTATATTTAACCTATAGGATCTTGTAATAGCCCAAATATATTTTGTATAGTTGTTTGTTAAAAGCTCCTAAAAGTGACAAATAAGCCTGAGCAGCACATCAGAAGGTTGCAGATCTTGAACTTTAAATTTGTAAAGCTGCTGGATCAAATCTGTTCAATAGTGTAAGCACTAATAAAACACATGCCGTGACTGTGGTTAGCTCTTCTATCCAGGTTAAGATTAACTAGAGATGAAGATGCAGTTAAAATAACCGTAAGAACAAAACTTCTTGACTAGAGAGCTACTACCGATACAGAGTTTCAAGTCTGCCGAAGGCGCAAGATGCAGGGCGCTTGTAGGCATGATGCCGAAAGCAGGAAACACTGTAGCTCAGTCAGTGACAGATATGTGAACTACTGGATCTGTACAACAGAAACAGCTCATATTGATTTAATTTACTCCACAAGGCTTACACTTAAAGCAAGTTGAGGTTTTAAAAATACTTGAATATTAAAATCCATTCAGTCACACTGAAACACCAAGTTTACTCTGACAAAATTTTGCACACTCTCCCTTCAATTCCCTGGAAGTGCTAACGAAACCACGTGGAGCTTTTTATGTGGTATTTTGACCATTGACGCTAACGTTTAGTGCTTTCTCTGAAGCCTCGTAACATCAAGTTTTGTCACCAAAAACATCACTAGCAAAGAACAGCTTAGATACATGTGCTAAACTTGTAGAATATCTATTTACTCTCTTGTGATGGAAATTTAGAGCTTTCGAGGCAAAGCAGCAGTGCCCCCTTTTTCTTGATGCATGTTATCGGCGCATTTGGCTTTTTGTCGTTTTGCAGCCTCATGCGAAGCTGCTGGAGCTCAGACAATGAAACTTCTCCCTCAGAGACTGGACGATTTTGGGTTGGTTCTGTGGCGGCTCACTCCACAGGTACTTTTCCAGTTGCTCCCGGTCCAGAGGCCTTAGCTGGTTGCAGGAGTGGACCGGAGTGCACGGAAGACTCTGCGAATGAACGAGGCCTCGGTTCTTAGAGGAAATGACCGCCTGACTGCCGCTTCCCTGCACCAACCTGTCCCGCTCCGTCTCACTCTCGTCCTCCGAGCGGATCTCTACGTAGTCATCATCGTCTTCGCCGTTGTCCTTAAAGTTTGCCAGGTAGTTCTGAGTGGCGGTGAGGATGCTCAGAGCAGAAGCGCGATTCAGGACCACCACCTGTTGACCATCCTGTAGGGTGAGGTCTGAGTGTCCCGGGGTAGACCGCTCTGGGAGGCTTCTTTGCCGGCCGACCTGTCCCAGACTGAGACCAGGAAGTCTGTCTGTGGGTTGATCCTCAGTGGGTCCATTACATTTGAAACCAGATTGGTGAGAGTTGTCATTCGGCTGGCTGGATAGGGAAGACTTTGTGGGCGAAGAGGGTGTGTTTAGGGAAGGAAGTCTCTTAATGGAACTGTACACATGCTCTTCTTTCTCACTTGGTGCAGAAATGCATGAGCTCCACCTTTGTGATGTTGCCGCCGCAGGGGAGGAAGAGATGGTCTTAAGAGACGGGCTGGAGCAAGCTGTGGTGAGCTTGCGCAGTGGGTTGGAAGTGCTTTGAGAATCCATACCCTCGCAGGAGGAGGACATGAAGTTCGCCAGCTCCCCATTGCTGTAGGTGGAATGGAGCCAGTCCTCTTCCAGCGAGGTCTCAGGCATGGATGGAGAATATGGTAGCCCTGGGTGGCTGTGATGTGGAGTAGGAGAGAACTGACCGGCAGGACCAGGAGAATCCCTAAACATCACCTGGTCGTAGAGCTGGGAGTATTCAGCTATTCTCGCACCTGAGGAGGAAACAAAGCAGCAACAAAAAGGGTGTGAGCAGAAATAAAAGGCAAAATGTTTCTTGAAAACTTTTGAGATACCTCAGATGTTGCTTTTTAAACATAATACGAAACACCAAAAACAGAGCACTCTATGATTAACATTTATTGGGCAAATGTGTTTTGACTTTATTTCATTGTTGTCTTCATTGTGTTTTTGCTTTTCCTTTTTCCTGCTTATTGTTCTGTGAAATGTTTTATTGTAATGATTTTTTATTATAATTATGTTTTTCTGAACACTGTTCAGACGAGCCAGTTTTCTCTAAAATAATCAGCAACACTTTTTTGTCGTCAGTAAAGCAAAAGTATAAGTGTAAAGAAAATAGCTATTAGGTCCAGTTACCCCATATTTTGTTTTAGAAGTCAGAGCCTGAGTACTGACACAGATACTGACCTCATTTTAGGCCACGTGTGACCTAGCCCAATTTCTTTGTTAATAAACCGATAAGAGAAGTGTATTAATAGATGCTGTGAAGAGACATCTGTCATTAATAGGGGAGAAATGTGTCACGTCACCTATAGCTGCTCCTCCTTGCTTCTTCTCCTCTAAGATGGCAGCCAGGTCTTTCTGCTTTTTCTCGTTTCTGGCCCGACTACAGGGGTCTCCAGGGTCCATGCTTCTCATGCGCAGCAGCTGGTTAGCTTTCTTTATCTTCTGACTGTACTGTCGTGCCATCAGGAAAACACGGCTCTTTGTTTTGTCCATCAGCTCAAGGTCCACAGATTCACCCAGCAACAGAGAAGATGATGCCAGGGGGGAGTCCAGACCTGCTAGCTCCCCTGGAAACAAGCTGTGGAGGTCTCTCTGAGAGGGGTTTCGCTGTGGAAGCTCCACTAGGTCATCATCTTCTAGGCGGAAGCTACCGCTGCTGAGACGAGCCAGTCTGTTCCTGATGTTCTTCACTGTGCCCGGCAGCGGCTCAGGGACGGGGCGTGATGCAGGATTGGTGCTTTCTTCTTCAGTGGTGCCTTCACTCTGAAGGTCAGGCAGGCTGATAACTGGGATGGTGAATGATGCTGTGGAGGTGATAGGTGGAGGCTTAGACTGATTTGTTGGGGGATTCATGGTCGGGGAGCTGGTGACCTGAGGACTGACAACAGGAGGACTCTTTGTAGGGCTGTTCTTGACAGCCGGGACCTTCTTTGGCGATTCGCTGGTGCTCACAGGGAACGCAGCAGGAAGCCGATCTGCTTTTTTCTCATTGTTCTTGATGTAGTTTTCTAAATCGTCCCAGATCTCATCTACCTTCACAGACATCTTGTCCCCTTTCTGTGAGTGCTGAGAAGAGGTTTCCATGCCGGAGAAAGAAGAACGATCGGGCTCAGAGGAACACTGGACAGAAAAGGAGACCTCTGGCTCGTCACTTTCCCTGACGTGGAGGTTCAACTCTGACACAAACCCTCCAATATGTTGCGTCAGGTCTTGCTCTGAGGCCAGCAGAGTGTCCCTCACCTCTTTCAGTTTTGTTCCTTCATTCGATCCCAGGGGCTCTTTTGATGGCTGCTCCCTAAAACAGATGGTGTCATAGATATTCTCTTCCACTATTTTGAGCTCACATGTCCCATAAGGCTTCACCTCCTGCGTGGAAGACCGGTTGCTTTCGGATGAACCATCTGGTTCGATCAATGGCTCAGTGACTGACGGTTTGCTTTGTGCTGTTCCTGCCTGGTTCTGAGAGACCTGTGCATTTGTAGGAGTCTCTTTCTGTGTCATCTGGCTTTCATCTGGGCCCTTTCTGATGAAACCCATGTTCCTCAGATCCTCGTAGCTGATATTATCGTATACATTTTCAATGTCATCTAACGTCAGCTGCTCTGACGAAGAGGAACCAGAGATGTCATTGCTGGACGATTCAGTGTGAATCACTTCCAAATTGCTGTGACCAGCCTTGTCATCTTCAGGGCTCTCCGGAGCCTCCGTAGCCTTCTCTCCTGCACTGCTAGCCCTCCGCAGGACTCTGCCACCATCAGGTGGAGGCTCAACCTGCACCGTAGGCACCTGTTCAACGTGCCAGCTGCAGGGTCGAGCCGTCCTGGGCGATAGGGTGGTATCCGCCCTCTCTGAGGCCACCTCTGGCTCTGGTGCACTTTGCTCCGTGGGAACAAACATCTGGTAGATGTCCTCTTCCTCGTCATCCGGCTGCATCGTTCTCTGGCGGGTGGGGAACATGGCTCTGCGAGCACGGTGGTCTGCCCAGATATTGCGAACTGAGTGGTCACTTTCTGTTACTATTACAGCGGGAATGGGGGAGTCTGGAGGTTCCTCCATCACACGAGGTGTTCTGAGGAGTGGCGGATGGTGACTCCCCTCCCTTACTAAGGATTCTCTGGCTCTCTGAGTTAAAAGACAAGAGAGTTAATGAAATTAGCATATGGCTGGGACAGTCCAAATAGTTGATTACATTGATGAATGACAAATAACCAACTACAAATTGATACCATACCTGAAGGTCTGAGGGACTCATGTTGAAAGTTTTCCACTGCTCTATGCTGTCAACAGACGCTTGAGGATTCAGCTTCTTTCTGCTGCTTTTGCCAGGAACACGCAGCCTCTTTCCACTTCCCTAAACGCACAGTTTTCCAAATGAATTATATTTCTGAACAGCAAGCTGGTCACAAAAATGTGCATTTATTCTTAATATTTTACATTTTGTACATTTTTGAAGGTTTGATTCTACAGGCAGCACCAACTCACCAGACTGTCGTCCTCATCATCAGCGTCCTGCTGATGTGGCTCTTCTCCTTCCTCCCTGTCACTGTGGTCATAGTGATCTCCGGGATCCAGGGACTCCTGTGATTGGTTGATAAGACTGCGGCTGCGACCTATCGTGCCCAGAGCCAGCTGGGACACAGGAGAGAGCAGGCTGGCACCCAGACTAGTTCGCTGGGGAGGAGACAGAGAAGCAAGTTTTGATGAGGTAAATAAAATGTGTGTTTGTGTTGAAGCTTCTCATCATCTTTGGCTGCGGCTTACTTTTTCACCATCAGAGTTGGCCGCATTCTGCTTCGCGTTCTTCAGTAATTTGCTGAGGGGTTCTGGGAAAATGGAGAAGTACAACTGTAAATGAGCAGTGCAATTATGATGCAACATTATTGTTACTTTAAGTACCCCTCATCTAATAAGGTCTGTTTCTTATTTCTCACCTTTTCTACGTCCTCTGCGAGGAGTGGGACCTTCCTTGGTTTGAGGGGAGTCTTTCTTGTCACCATCGGGACTGTAATGAAACCCTGGATGATCTAGGAAAACGACAGAATCCCCCGACAGTGTTAGTAATGACAGAGTATTAAATCTGGTGTGACGAGAAGATAAAAAAGGAAAATAGTATGATAAACTACACTCACTAACTTTAATAAGATTTAATATATGATGGAACTTACGTATTGCATCCATTTCCAAAATGGCTTGTTTGGCCTGCAATTTGATTTGAAAAAAAAAAAAAAAAAAAGGTTAGATTTTAGATTGGAAACATTCGAACACTAGGTGTCATCACAACACAAACCTGAAGTTTAAGTTTGATTTAACAGGCAGCTAGTGGTGGAGTGTAGTAAAGTACAGTCTATTAATTTACATCTGGAGCAGTTAAATGCAGTTTTTAGGTATAATTCCACTTTACTATATTTTAGAGGGAAATGGTGTCGTTTGTAAAATGCTTGCTGAGTAAGTATTGTAAAAAAAATAAAAAAAAGAACCCTGGGAAGGAGTTTCAAACAACAACTACCACCTAAACCTTTGACAATAATTGGATGTAGAATTACATTAATCTGTTCATTTTTCAACTGAATAATTTTTGTGTTATTCAGTAGTTTTGCACCGCTTTATTGTCTGTTGTACATTAGTATCAGAATACTCCTTTAATGCAGCTCAAAGTGATAGTCAGCTGAGGCCGTGTGCATGTTATGCAGTGTCCTTGGGCAAGACCAAAGGCAACTGGGGAGTTAAAAAAAGGCGATTGTTGTGGCAGATTTACGGAGCACATGAAAGCTAAGACAGAAAAAGGAAGTATTTTAAGTGGAGTGACATTTCCAACACATCCCACTCAAAGTCTGTGATGAGCTCCTCTTACCTTGGCAGGAATCTTTGCAGGATGGTTTTCAAGTATGAGTCTTTTGAGGTGTAAAATCCACATGCGCTTGTCTTGCTGCGATTTGGCCTGGGGTCAGAGCACAAAACATCACAGAGAGGATTATGTCATACATGCACTTTAAATGCAGCTCCCAGGATTGGGATAAATCCTTTAAAATATGGCTTTCATACATCACACACATTAGATTTTCTTTTTCAGTGCTTGCCCAAAACATGGTGGTTAGGAAATAACAATGACTGGGTTTAGCCTGTAAATGCTTAGCATGTCTGAACAGCTCACAGCAATGAGTCTGAACCATGGACAAAACAATGAGGCACCTGCAAATAATCATCACACTTTCTTACTCTTGTGCAATGCTGGTGGTGGCAACAGAAAGTTTTCATGGATATGACTGTTTTAAAAAAAGGATTGGACATTAATCCGTGACGTCATATTATGTGTGACTTCTACTGCAATGCTCCTATACCTGGACAGTGTGCTGGAGTTTGGGATTCTTGTAGTGAAACACACTGAAACTCAGAGGTTCTTTAGGAATCACTTCCACCAGCATCAGGTTGCAGCACTGCAACAGAAACAGAAGATGCATTAAACACAAACGTCTAGAAAAGGGTAGAAACCTTTAAATACTTAAAAATGTGCATGGCTAACCAGGATGTGGGCCTTGTACGTATAGGCTTCTTCTCGTTTCTTGGTAACTAGCAGGAGCTTGTCAAACAAGAAAAGGGTTCTTTCGTTTTTGGCACGCTGCAGGCGAAACGTTCCTTCAAGGACCAGCTCTCCATAGCCTATCAGATCAGGGCCCTTCCAGTTGGTCAGGAGGCTCTGGATTTCCTGTAGGGAGAGTTACAGAGTGAAGGGAGTTAGATAACCTTGTTTGTTTTGACACAAAACAGGAAAAACACTTAGGCAATTGCAATGGAAATCCGAGATTTCGAGTTTGCGTCAGAAAAATACACTCTTGACCCGCTTAAACAAAACAGAAAGAGCTAAATTTAAGTGAAACAGTGGTTGGAACATCTGACAGTGATGACGTCATTTCTAAAACTATAAAGGCAGGGATAGAAAGACCTAAAAACAGATTACAAGTTAATATATTACACTGTTCTCGAAACAAAACAAATGCAGTTATGGGAAAATCATAACTATCAGGATAATAAAACAACAAAAAAGATAAATCTTCTCCCTTGCCAATTCTTTGTTGAGACTATTCGAGTAAGTGGTTCCACATATCCCATCATCCGTATGACCGTTCCGTCTTAAAGAAGATAAAAGCAGCAAGCATCGCTTTCATGTGTCTTCTATTTGCAAGGCCATCATTAGCCTGTGGTAAATGCACTGACTGGAATAAGTTGGAAAGTTTGGACAGGCTCCAACCTTCCAGCGACCCTGAACTGGAATAAGCGGGTACTGAAAAATGGATGGATGGGTTGAGGAAGTTGTGGGGAAGATCAGGCCATTGGCTGATTCAAACATTATTGACCTCACATTGCTGCTCTGCAGAAATATAAAAGTGTTGGCTCCTTGAAAATCTTCAAACTGCCTTGCCTGTTTTGGCGAATGTGAGAGTGCTCGTTTTACCTGCAGCCTAACAGCATGCTCGTGTTTCCTCTTCATGTCGTTTATGTGCCAGGCCACTCTCTGCATGGTGTCTATGGCTTCCTGGACAACTTCATAAGTCTCTGTGTCCTTCTCCATGTGGTTGGCTATCTCCTGAATAGAAACACACGGAAAGCCAGTTCTCTGTTAGCATTTTACAAAATATGAAACATTCACAAGCATATCATGTGACTTCACTTGCATGCATGCACACAAACACGCTTTTCTTGTATATAATGATAATGATTTTTTTAAAATGGGCTATATCAAACATGGGTATTCACAGGAACATCCATGCTGAGTACCATATGTCAGAACATTTGGCTCGTCCAACAGAGCTGAGCTGAGGCAGAATATCATTAACATGCATTTACAAATGTGTGGCTGCACTTATATTTTCTTGTGAGTGAAGGGTAATCTTTATGCATGTCAGTGTACGGTGCATTTACAAGACAACAGACAGGCTGACATACATGTAACAGGAGGTGGTACTTGAGGACACGCTGCACTGGCTTGAGCAGGTAGGAGCCCAGGGGCAGGGAGTGCCTCAGAGATTCCTGGCGCTCGCGGAAAAACTTGGCCAACGCCTTGTTCCTCATGCATTCTGTGAGCACAGCCACTGACCTGTGGAGACAAAACCCAGCAAATAAGACGTTAGGGATGCGTCATAAATTTGACTGCAGTGAAATGAGAGAGCTGTTATGCGCGCTTAGTATAATAAAAATAAATTACATTGTTGGGACCAGGAGATTTCTCATTCAAATTTATACCTGAGGCTACCTGTAAGCAGAGATCGTCAGCCATAGCATTGCTAGCCAATTTTCCGCAAGACATGTTTTATTACAGATAATAAATCAAATTAAATCAAATGATATGGAGAAGAATACAGAAATTCATGCAATTTATGTGTTATTCTCAAAATTTCAATATGTTAGCTTGCGTTTTTAATCAAACAAGACATACAATATCTTTCACACACATAAGGCATTCATTCATATTGTGAAGCTGTTGGTTTTTTCTGTATTTTCAACTTGAAAAGAATTTTGCAAAACATTTCGTGATGATAAAGTTATAGAGCCAATTATCAGGCTCAGATGTCTCAGATGACAAACTGTGTGACAGATGCTTTGATACTGCATTTCTAGCTGAGCCAGAGCTAACTGAATTTTGCATAACCTTCTAGTAAAACAGGAGCACTTTACAAGTTCGTATGAGGCAGACTTACTGCATAGAGAGGCTCATTTGCGGTGTGACCTACTGAGGAATAAAGAGCTTTTTCACCGACTATGGAGGCTGCATGTGTGTGTTTTGTGTGTCTGCGCAGTGGGAAAAGACAGAAAAAGACAGTTGTGAACTTGTTTCAGTCTTCTGTCTTGTGTGCGTGTGTGTGTGTGTGTGTCTCTGTGTGCACATGTGCATGTCTGGATGTCTAAATTCCAGTGTGGCTCCACACAGGCCTCACATTGTTCTGGGGGAAACCCGACCTTAGAGCTCAGTATGACCATGATGCATCTACGGCCTCTCTGAGTGTGCGTTTATGTGCAATCGTCTCCTTGTGTGTCGTGTGTGACCTCCGTGGGGGTCACCAGCTGTGGCGAGGATGTGGGAGAAGGTCTATAGCAAACAGCTGACGACAACCCTGTCACACCCACATGATCGTGCGTTCAATTAGTCATCATTAACGTGTGAATATTGTGGCTCCTTTCTCCTCAATGGAGAAGAAAATGGTTGCCCAAGGAGAAGGTGTGTTGAGCAGGTGCGGTACATCTCAGCATGAAAGAAAGCCTCGTGTTTCAGCCAGATTCAGTCAACAATGTACACACAAGCATCAAAATACCCCCCACATTATTCCACACAGGTGTCCCATGGCATCACAGCACACACACACACAAGGATAAAACATTAACAGCGTTAGGTATGATAAGGTGACAACTTTAATACCCCATCTGTCAGCGTGAAAGCTGCAGCGATAAAAGAATGGAGAAAAAAAAGTCTGGAAGAAGGAGCATGAAGGGAGAAAGCGAGACCCTGAGGCACAACTGACAGCAGACATTTGGACTCCGGCGGAGGAGAGCTCCAAAGAGCGTGTCAACTCGTCAGGGAGGGAATAAAGGTAACGCACAATGATGCCATGTGAGACACTGGGAAGGTGACATGTTGAGGTGAGATCATGGTGGGATAACAGCTGCACAGCGGGCGGCTGAACAGAATAATCAGTGACCCATGCATAAACACTCACAAAAGTAATTAAAAAAAGGTTTCTCATGAAGAAATCTTACCGTGGGTAGTTGGTGCAGTACTGGGTATAAATATGAAACTCTTCACTCTGCCAAAATACGATGAAAACATTTCAGTTAACCCAGTTATGCAACAGGAAATAACACCATGATGACTGAAGAGTGAAATGGAGTTTGTGAAGTTTTTAGTTTGATGCCAAAACATATTAAAATGACAATAGTATCATAAATATAGTCTGTGCAGACTCTTAGCTTTCTTTGGGGATCAGCATCTAAACTGGAAGATTTGTTAGCACCATTCAGCTCTTTTTTCCCCTCTTCCCCCAGGGAGCAAATGTTTGCGAAATAATCAAGATAATCATAGATAGATTGGTCTTTTTTCCCCAAACATCCTGCATGGGCAATATCAACATGAAGCCTGAAACCTGTGAACATCCCAATAAAAATGACTTTGCTGTCCAAATCTGCACCATAACTACTGCATTTAGCGCTGTCTTTATCACACCAAGTAAGTATAAATTGAGTCCAGATCGGGTGTTTGAATGCGGCATGAAAGAGTCTTCGCAGATCGTTAACTTGAAAAACTCCTGTTTTGCTTTCACAGCATGTTTTTGGATCAGCATTCGTCTGTGAACAGTTAACTGTGCAGTGTGTCACTGTGGACTTCGGAATTGAGGGGGACGTTTCTGTCTTCTGTCACATCATCTATAAATTTTCCCCGACATGGCGCCATCAGATGCTGAGCAAGCCCATGCTTGATGTCATCACGCTTCCTTTAAAGTGTTTTACGCTTTGCATCAAGTGCTGTTCACAACGTCAAGGCATCTGAATAGTTTCCAACTTGGATAACAATAAGCATCATTATGCTTGCTACCTCTTCAGTGTGCTCCTTGGACACAAATCATAATAGCACATGTCAGTATGTGTGTTTATATCTGGCATTACACCGCCATGTCTGTTATCTAACAGATACAAGATAAGAGATGAGTGAAGGAGATTAAACCATTTGATTCCACGTGTAAACTGTGATTCCTCACATCAGATGATAAGACTGTACATTTAAATAGACAAGTTTTCTAAATTATTTTCATATTAGTTTGGGAACAGGGTGCAGAGTTATAAAAAGGATATTTATTGTCATTAAACACAATTTGGCTTTTATTTAAAACAAATCTGGTGCCTTTTTCGCCTTAAAAAATGTCAAGATTTAGCTCCATCATATTGTATTGTCTATCATATTGTCTATATTTATCATGTTGGCTTTAATGACATTCTGTTTTTTTTCATGTTTACTGCTTTACACAGTCTGAGCCCACAGACAAGGCATCCACTCTCCTCTGCTCACTGATCCTAATTGAACTTCATCCCCAAAGCTTATGATTAGCCGAGCTGTGGCCTTTAATTCTGCATTTGTCTCAACAGCTTTGAGCGCATGGATTAAATATCCCCTCATTCCTCATCACCGCCCCTTTAACCAAGACGTTTTCCCACCTTGCATACCTCTCTGAACATCAAAGTCATCCGAAGGCAGCATGACTTATCAAAGCTGGAATGAACCTCTTTGGTCTCATAATCATGTCAGTCCAGATTTCTGCTTATTCATATTTTTTATGACACAACTTTTCTAATCCTTTCTTCATTGTTCATTTATGGGCATTTTCCTCTAGTCATCCTTCCTTTCTCCCTTGATTTCTTGGAGGCCTCAAGATGAACCGCTTGCTGTTGCATAATATGAGAGTCTAATTGAACCGTATTTGTGTTCATAAGCGGCAGGAGGGAGGATAGAAGTGGTGGGATGCAGGATGCAGGCAGCTTTCCGGAATCTACATCATAAACATCCAAGACAAATGACTGAGATCTGTCCTAGTACATGTGCAGAACATACACATAGCAACTGGCCTTTCAGAAACGGCAGCAAATATACAGGCTGCACACGCAGAACATGTGAGAGTGTTTAGTTGTATCCATAAATAAATACATTGTCCAGTGTGTACCGAACAAGTTACGTGCAAACAAATTATCTCACTAACAATGACAAGCACAGAACCCGCGAGCACACAAACCTACAGACTCTCAGGAATTGTTAGCCTGAGGTGCTCCGTGGGAACCGTCTTAAATTGAAGAGCAGAGCTCTCCTCCTCCTCTTCGTCTCCAGCACTCTGCCGCCGCAGACCAAGCCTAAACACTACCAGATGTGCCACCATCGATTTCTGATGACACACATTCCTAATACACCCCCTTAATATTCCTCTGCACCCAAAACAGAAACGCTAGACCACAAAGAGCAAAAATAGGCCTACGGCATACAAATTGTTCCAGAAAACATTTAGAACCTAACCAGTAGACCCCATAATAACCATTACAACACAATGTATTTCAGACATAATCTAAAGTACTTTTAAATAATAGAATCATTATAGCCCCATTCTGTACAGTGAGTTTCTTTAACACAGCAGTTTAAAAAAAGGGGGGGGAAAGCTCATTTTCTGGGGAATCAAGATGGGAATTATATTGAAAATTCTATTTCTTGGAGATGTGGCTACAAATCACCACAAAGGGAATTGAAAAATAAGATCACAGCCCATGAAACAGTTTAATAAAGTAATAAAGCAGCAGTCTGGCTTGTTTGCTGATTAGTTAGGAAATTGTGACTGGACTGTTCACACCGAGTCAGCAGGTAAGTCCTGAATGTAATAAATCATGAGGAGGAGAAAAATAGCTCAGTGTAATTGTACTCTTTGCTTCAGTCAGCATGTAGCAACTCATAAAAGGCTTTAAAGGCTTACATGAAATACAGCACAGTTAGGATGTCTGCAAACAGAGGCGAATAGAGGATAAATTGCCAATTATCTCAGAGGCACAGATTAGCAACTAGACTTGTCTCTTCTTCAAACACTATGCTGAGTTGTTTTTCATGCCTGCTGAGACTAGCGAGGTATCGGAATTGAGTTTGTGTGTGCACGTTTCACAGCCGATGGTGGAGGAGAGGTTTTGTAGTTTTCTGGTTCTTAGCAACCACGACTAATGTTAAGTAAATCAAAGGTTAACACTCGGGTCCCAAATATCAGCCTGTGAAATCAGAGCCCACACAAGCAAACTTTGCTTTTCTGTCTTTCTGTTGGTGTCTACTCACATCCAGCATCACACTTCCTTTTAAGTTTTCATGCTCAAAAATTCCCATAAACATGTGGGTCACACCTCTGCCTCAGGTCCTTTGTAAGCTTTTGCTATCCAGAAAAACTTTTCCCCCCCATGTTAAAGCTGTTTAATGCTAATATTTCTTGTAACATTAATCACACGCTTAAAAGATGTCAGTCTACATGTTTGTCTGTGGATGTCTGTTAATTATGCAGTAGTGGTGTGGGCTGCCATAAAACCATTCTGTCTAAACAACAGCTGCTTTATTTAGGGAGTCTATGACGCTAACTGTGACTTTTTCTTTTGTTGGGACTTGGTAAAGACAGTTGCTCTGTGGTTTTGGGTGTAATTGCAGTACGGGTAGGACGGGAATGTAAAGTGTTTAGGAGGAAGTGCTGGAATGCAACACATTATCATGGGACATGATCACACGCAATCATTGTGTGGGTATGGACAAATGATGAGCGGGAGAGGAATCGCTTCTGAAACTCACAGATATAACTACCAGTAAAGTAACTTGAAGTTGCTGAGTGGAGGCTTCTCTTGATGAGGCCCTACTATTATCCTCTCCTGTAAATGCGACGGTGCTTAAAATTCTTTCAGGGTTACTGTTCTTTCCTTCCCTACCACTCTTCTTACCACTCTTCTTACCATAAAAAAAAACAATACCACCCTCAAGAAACTTTAGATGCGTTATGAACTGAGAAGACTATCTTTTAAATAGTATTTATTGCTCATTTCTCTCTCTTGTATGCCTTTGTGTCTGTATGCACGAGTCCAGAACAGCTGCAGGAGCAGGTTTCAACATGCTGAAGATGGTGCATGAAGGAAGAGAAACACACCACTCAAAAAATGACCTTTGCTTAAATCAACACAATAACACAAAAGGTGCTCAATAGTACGGGAGATCTAATGAGAATTCACAAATTAAAAAATTGACTGCTGGATTGCAGTGTTTTGAATAAAAGTATCTGATTAGATTTAAGTGAACCATTAAAATGAATGGGGGGGAGATAAAACCATCTTTACCTTGGATACGAAGCACTCTGCAATGGCCACTGGATCTGAATTGCACTTCTCAAGATCGTAAAGAAGGTTCCTGAAACAGAGATCACTTAAATCATTAATTTGATATGACACATGCTCACAGACCTGTTCTTTTCCCAGGTTACATAAACATTACTTATTCTTCTGAACAATAACCATGAATTTCAGGACCTAGCCTCACCCAAAGCACAAAAACTAGGTCTGAGGGCACCTGCCGCTGAACAAGTGAGAAACTTCCATGTATTCAAACGGCCTGCTCCCATGTGTAGGTGTGTGTGCGTGTTGGAAAACACACTGTTTAGGTTATTGTTTCATGGCTAAAGCATGAGGTCATAGTGACCACTTTAAACTGCTTTGATGCTTCCAGTCAGCCAGTTTATCTGTGCGCAGCAGCTGAATAGGCTGGAGGGGAATGTCTGCAGACCACTAAAGTGATGCTTGACTTAAATTGATTAGTACTAATATCAAAATTATGCAGTATTACAATTCTATGGAAATGTGTAAAACTGGACCAGTATTTGTAGAAAGAAAAATATACTGGCTTTGGTAAATTCTGGTCCGAGTCTCTGCTCTTCAATTTATAAGACTGAATATTTTCTGCAAATCAATCCTCTCCAAATCATATATCTGTCTGTCAGACTCCTCAAATTGTCATTTACTGAAGGAAATAAACCACAACTAATCTCTGAAGAGAAGGGTATTCAGATTAATTCCTAAAAAGTCGTAGTGTTTGATTTCTTCTTCCTATCCATATCATACTACAACAACATAATCTGGTGTTGTGTCATAGGCAAGACACATTTAAACCTCGTATTAACTCCAATTCTGACTCAAGATAATGGCTGCACTCCACAGTGTGCATCTACACACGCGTATGTTGTACCTGTTAAAGATGTAGATGTCCCGGATGTTTCCGAATAGCGAGTCTTTATCCTCAGAGCTCAAGGACAGTCGAGACTGGTTGCTTATGCAGTCCAAGTAATCCTGTAAAAAACAAAAGATAAAGATCGGCCAAGTCAGAGGGACAATAAACAGAAAAGCTGACATCTTAAAAAAAAAAAAAAAAACAAACACAAAAAAACACATTGAAAAGGAAATGAAGGTCATACTTTTGTTCACTTTGTTTTTAAAATCTCTTTCCTTTACATCGTCGTGTGCAGAACATAAGATCAGAGCATTAGTTTTACGCAGAAGAGCTGTTTGACTTTCCACCATCGACTTAACATTAAGAAAATTTTATATTCAGTCCAGAAGTGGACGACCTTTAGATTCCCACCCACACATTGTAAAAGCTTGTAATGTATTATGCAAAAAATATTACTCAGTGAGCCGCATTACTGTAAGTTCCCACTTTATTTTAGGAGATATATCAATCAGTGGTTTAACCTTTTGTGTCTTGTAACCCCTCTGATTCCTCCTTAAAGCACACAAATTTATTTTGATAGAATTTGTTATTATCAGATTAAAGAGTGTGAGAAAACTAATCCAAAACAAGCCTTAGGTAGCAGTTTAACTGCACTGTAAGCACTTGAAAAAAAAAAAAAAAAAGGAAAGTCTGATTCCTGTCTGGCTGTTTTGTGTAAAAACTTTGATGAGGAGATAATGCAATGCATTATGTTTGCTGCGTTTGTAAATCAGCCCTGTAACAGTCTGACAGTTGCTGGGAACATGCAGGTTTAATATGAACCCATGTTGCAAAACAGGTATATGTCTGCTCAGGAAGATTCAGCTCTGTGGGCCTTATCACTGCCTCCATCATTGCTGTTAGTGATAAGTGCTGATAGGACTGTGATTAAACACCATCCCCAGGCTGCTGTTTACCCTGCAGAAAGAAAGCGAGCGGTGCAGAGAAGGAGACAGGTGAACCAGCCGCTACTGTAAAAAGGGCTGATACTGTTAATTCTGTCTGTACATTTTCTTGCTTGTCATTCGAAAAATGACAGGAGTAAGGAGATCACATGACTGGCTCATGCAGTAGGAGAATACTTATTCTATTCTTTATCCATTTCTGGTTGAAGCATTTTCAATGCATTTATGTGTTGCTGTTGAACACCTCTTTCTTCTCTCAGTCACTTTTTTGCTCGAAACCCGCGTTTTCCGTGTTAATGAGGTCTACACTCCTCTTTCCTAAATAGTACTTTATGTGGAAGCGGAGGATCTGCAATAGACTTAAAAAAATAAATAAAAAAAAGGATATTCCTGAGTCAAGGATGCCAGGAAGAAGACTCCACATGAGGAAAAGCACAAATAACTTCAGCTTTTGGACTGACGACTGGTCACAACAAAACATTTCATGAACTTAACCAGCAAACTGATCAGGAATAAACATTTTAAAAAAGCTCACCCGATTGCCTCAGTCCTGCTAGTTTTAGTCTGATTACTTTGGTCAAATGATGACGTGTCTTAAACACGCACTCCATCTATTCCCTTTTATCAAGTGTCTCCCACTCGTCTGTCTCACTCAAAGACGAGTTAAGCTTTGATAGTATCATTACCTGCAGGCAACAAAACGCTGTCAACATCAGTCTATCCCCAAAATAAAGTAATACTCATTCAAATGTTGATATTTATTCAGGAGCAGAATGTGTTCTGATGGCAACTGAATAACAGTTTTTAAACTAGATCACAGCCTCCAACTGGGCTTAGAAGAGGTTACAACAGCGAGTAAAGCACCAGGCTGCCGTCGACATGCACAAACACACCCAGTGATCATCTCATCGCATACAACCTCTACAAGACTAAATGTAGGAAGGGAGAGGTAGATCCTGCCTATTCACTCCATTTGATCTTTTTGCTTAAATTCCAGACGGCTGCTCGAATTTCTGCTCCTGTTAATATTTTTATTCAACTTTTGGTATCATTGTTGTCAAATGAGGCAATCAGCAGTCCATTAAACTGTGATGTCAGTCATTGCTGGACAGTAGACAAAAGATTAATGCAAGGGAAAGAGATGGTATTCAATTTTCCAGCCGAGGACCAGTGCTCTACTAAGGTGAAGTACTTTTAGCTGGATGTTGAAGCAAGCTACACACAGAGGCACGTGAGCTACTTTTTGCTATTCATGCTGATTAAAACGAGCTTGGAGACTGTAGGAGACATTCCATCAGTGTTGATTTTCATTAGCGCAGATAACTTTTGTCGAGTGAGACGGGGCTAAAGAAGTAAACAAAAGGAGAAGCAGCTTTTTCGTTAGGTTTATGGTTATATTAGGAGGTCACATCGGTGGGTCATGTTTAAAATTTGTTTACCCTTGGAAGTAATGTGTAAGGTGAGGCCTTATTAGCCACAGGGTCAAAGCTCTGACCTGGCCTGACCCGCTCACTCATCACAGCCTCAGGGAGCTCAACAATAGGTAGCATTCAGCTCCGCACACGCACACATGGAGGTTCACTCCCTCTAAAGCGTCAGATATAACATGCACAAACTTGAAACTTTCACGTGTTAACCATTAACATCCTCAAGCGGTCTCTTCCCACACAACAAATGCAACGCAACACTGGCCTGAAAGAGGAAGCCGTTACTCCAAACAATGCAAAGTGTAAACAACCACATATCTGTGATTCAGTATTTCCTAAAGGCCTGGTGATGTTCCTAAATTATTTCCAAATTCCTGCTCAACTTCAAATAGCCTGGTCATGCGTTCCAGATCTAAGACAGGAAAAAAGGAGAGGAGAGAGTAAGATCAGAGCCTTCTCTAATGTTGTTTGTGGATGATGGATCGGGCTCATTAACCAAGTCTAGCAAGGGTGGTCATGCAGATGCAAAATAAGAAAAAAGAAAAAAAAAAAGAAAGAAGAAAAATACACAGAAACTTACACCGGCCTATATAGCTCAGCATTGCAGGTTAAAAAAAATACATGCAAATTGACAAGTCGAGCAAACTCTGAAAGTGCTGTAAATAGAAAAAAATGTCATGCGAAGCAACAGAGTCGAACAACAGGGCTGCTGACAGATGAAACACAGGTGAGCCATGGGGAGTCTGGGCAAATATTTGTGTTGAGGCTGCTACACCCTCTTCTCTTGCAGGAAGCAGCCTGGGCAGAGGGATTACTGAAGCAGGCCTTAGAGGAAAGCTCATGCAGGGAAGATACTAAATGGGTTGATGTTGTGCATTCGCTGTAGTTTACTCTTTGCTATAGTGTAACTGTCAAAGGTCCTATTCATGGACACAATCTGTGCAATCTATCTCTTACTAAACACTCAAACTGTCACTGAGAGAGTGAAGAAAACCTAATGTGTGTCTTTTCTAATGTGCTGGTGAAAAATTTGCTGCCCTGTAAGTGCTTCTGTCCAGGGGCTGGGTGGTCCAGTCCACTAATAGCAA